TAAAGTTTATTTTGATTCAAAATCAAAATAAACAAACTGGACACGCATTTATTATGTTTGATTCATGTAAACAAGGTTTGAAACATCATATAACCGCAGTATTATTAAGTCATATGATGTTAACAGCATGAAATCACACCTAAAAAATGGTATTTAGAGACTTTTGGCGGCCCTCTATATAAGTAAATATTAAATTATTAATATGATGAATTATAATAACTTTGTAATGAAAATATTTTTAGTAAAATTATGTAATATACACATTAATAATTTTGGTAATGTTATACTATAGTATATGCCTTAATTAGAAAGCAAGCTTAGTTATACATGGAAAATTTTTAAAGGAAAATTCAGAATTTTTTTACCATTCAAGATTTTTGGATTTTGAGATTTTGTACCATTCAGGATTTTGGATTTCAAGATTTTGACCTTTTGAGATTTTGGATTTTGAGATTTGAACAGCATCTGTTCAAATAAATGACAAGCTCGTAATAGGATTAATTCTGTAAGTGAAATTGAATAGGTGTTTCAATGAATTAAGTCATGCTAAAATAGTGATAACATTTAGAGAAACATTTTATTAATAGGCAGGATGTTGACTTATTTTTTCTTGTGTTAAGGTACACAGAAGGCAGTAAAACTTCCAAATCTTTTCAAGGATAACGGGTCATTTAAAATTATTGGAGCATGCTGTTCTCACTTAATTACCATACAACGTAAAAAAAATTACAAAGAAATGATAAATTCTTGTATAATAAATGATTTTTATTGAAATTACATTCAACTCTCTCTATAGTCACAAATTTGGAATAAGCCAAATTAGATGATTATAAAGAGAAGTGACTATAAAAAAAATTATTTTTGATCATATTTTTAATACAAAACACATAATGTGATTATTTTAAAAAAAATAAATAATTTATTAATTTTATTATTGCAATTTGCTATAAAAATAATTAAGTATATATTAAAATTATACAAATTAAGAAAAAATAAATCAATTGATTTTTGTTATAAAAAATGCATTATAACGTAACGTACTTTAAATCTAAAGCATGACGTTTAAAAACCTTAAAATCTTCTATTTTACATCCTTCATCAATAGGGTTAATTCATAAGAAAGTATTAGCATTATTGTGCTTTGGTTAAAGAAGTGCATATTTTAATAATGATAAAAGAAATACACTAACTTTATTTGTATGTTGAAATTTTATTGGTAATTATTTCACGTGATAATGTGATACTTTTTGGTAATATAAAAATTCGGGGTATTTAACTGAAGAGACTATATGGGATAATGACTTAATTTTCAAAATTCTTAATTGTGATGTAGAAAGTTTTAAATAAGTACGAAAATCATTAATAGCGAATGAAGTAATTATAGTATATACGAAAAAGAAATGTAAAAAAATTGAATTATAAACGAAAAAAAAATATGTCCGAATGTGTGCGGTTCTCAAATTGTTGAAAGAATTAAACGTTAAATCTTTCAATTGCAAATATACGAAAACAAAAAGTCAAAATAGGTGAATAAGTTTGGGTTTGTTTGTGTTCGTGAATTCCATAATTGCAAATGTAATAATACAAATAACGAATAAGTGAAATTTTTCAACGGAAAAAAAATGTCAGGGTTTGTTTTACGAGTTTCCGAAAAGAAGTAAACGCCTACAGTATATATAAATCTTTCAATTGCAAATGAATGAAAAAGAATAGTGTCAAAATTGGTGAATAAAGTTTGTGTATAAGAAAGAGTTGTGTTTCGGGCGTGTAAAGAAAAAAAAAATTTCAATCTGAAAAATTACACTTTGTTAGTCCGGAGCGAGGGCTGCACGTGACAGGTAAGATACGTAGGCGACAAATAACGAGTGACAAATTTGTCAAAAAACTACCTTCCGCTCATAATATGAGTCGATACCCTTTCGTTTACACTTGTGCTCCTAACAAATTTTTGAAACGTGCGGAAATTCATCAATCATGTGCACGCGTACCAAATCATACACTGGATCTAACTGGCATTAGTTTCCCTGAAAAAGAGTCCTAATTAAACTTACATTTATTTAGGGTTATCTATAACGAAACTTTCTATTACCAAGTATATAAATTAATTTTATCATTCTGAACTTGTAAATTGGGTGGATTTTTTTTATTTTTTTTAAAGGGAAGCTCAAAGATTCGCATATTTCAAATATGTAAATAACATTATCGAGCGTTAATAAAGTCATTTTTTGTAACAAAGTTTGACAAAGTTGGTTAAGAAAAATTTTTTTCTTACTCTTTTTGATGATGAATAAAAAAAAGAGAGAATATGAAAAAAAGGAAGAGGTGTTAGAATAATCTAACGAGCACATGAAAAAGAAAAGTTTGTTATTAATAAAGAGACCTTTTTATAAGAAATCGACTTTTTTTTTTTGTTTGCTTAATAATACAATATATATACAGTCGAACCGGGACCGAAAAAAATGATGTAACTAAAGAGAGGTTTTTTTTCTTTTAATGTTTATTAGTAACTTAATTGAGGATGTATCATCTCTAGCCAATAATAAATTTTCCGACAAAAACGTGATTTTAATCCAAGGATACTTGTTACAGAATAACGTTGGGTAATTTTTTTTTTAATATAAGTTGATACGTCCTGGTTCTAATTGTAGAATAAAGAAAACTGTAAAGCGAACTTTGTTTACAAAGAGATATTGATTGAAGTATCATATTTATCATATATAATAACTAAAAGTAGAGTTTTGAAAGGAATCTGCAAAAAAATTTTTTCTTATATAGCAAGGCTCTTTATCACAGAATGAAACCGGAATTCCCCTTGTTTTGTACGATAAAATGTTCAAAGACTTGTAACACACTATGTTTAATTTCTTTTTTTACAATATATTTTACATGAATGTCCGTGAAGGTTCAAAAAATCAAAGAAGGTTGAAAAGTAGGAGTCCAAACCAAAAGGTAAAAAATAAAGTAATTTGAATTTTGACGGTTGCCATTGTTACATAATATAATTTCGCCCGAAAACTCCACAATTTCGCATGTTAATTATTTTTTTTTATAAATACGAGCCGGAAATCCTTAAACAGCACGCTCGCCCTTATTATATTTTGCATACATACACCTCGAAAACTTTCCTTTAACCCCTTCGCGATATTTTCGCTTTCGCCGTTTTAGCATTTAAAATTTCTTATTTGTAACTTCTTTTTATTTTTAATTTCCGATTTTCTTATTATTTTATTTATTCATTTTTTTTTTGTAATTTGTTCGTAATTGCGCAGTTTTAATTAATCAGAGTTTATTGGTTGGAATTTACTTAGTTGACATTGCGAAAGTGTAGTGCGCCGACGTTGAGGCAATACTTCATTTTTACTCAATAAAAACGCTTACTTACAAAGTTGTTTATAAATACATAAACGAAAGAACTGAATACATCACTATTATAGCCTGAAATACGAAGGAGCATACTTTTTGAGTAAAATATATTGAATAATCGAACAAATTGAATATCATAGCAGAATTTTAGCAGCATTCGTTTTTAATTTAAAAATAATTTTTATTTACGCAATTAAATTTCATAATATAGAGATAATAAACTTTATATTTTATTGCTTTTATTTGCCTTATTTACTATATTTTCTAATTAATTAATAAAAACAATTTTCTAATCGGTGTTCAAAAAAAAAAATTGTTGATTGGGATTATGCCACTCGGATACGTATATTTTTTTAACCAATCAGCCTATCAACTGAAGTGCTTGAGAACGCCTTTAAATATTTTAGCTTATGTTCAATTCCTTGTTTATAAAGGTCGAAGGTTGAATTAATTGTATTTAACGTGAAATTTGATATTAGCGGAAGTGATGTATGAAGCGGGTGATCGACATCCTGTGGAAAGGATATCAACGAAGCATATCGATGCTATCTCTGATCCATGCTCATAAGCTTCAATTATTTATTGATAAAGTTTTGGTGAAAATATGAGGGATTTCCTTCTTAATTCAAAGTTTATATCTTCAACAAATATATCTTTTTAACAATCTGTCTTACAATTTGCTCGTGAAATACGCACTTTGATTTTAGATATCGCCGTAAATATCCAACTTATTTCGAAAATTTGTAAGGCGTCTGCTATGGATTTATTATCATCGAGCTTAAACCCAAGTTCGATAAGCTTGGTAAGGCGGAATTTTACATCGTCGGCAATTGGCCAAAGCCATCCAGATGTGGGAATGGAGTAGTAATGCTCCCGATATGACAAGATTATTGGTATCACTCTTCAATTAAGTTACGACATTGCCCCTCACAACAATTTGATGGTTCCGGAAGAATATCCACCAAAGGGGAAATGGGACGAAATTATTCTTTAAGATCAAATTTTTTATGGTGTCGTAATTATTTTTCAACTCTCTTGGGACGTGTACCCGCTGAGATAAAATGGAATAATTCCATGTCGTTCCCCTTAATAGGTAATATTTTGGAAAATCTAGCTTCTCCTTCTTGTAAGATGATGCTAAACACGCTCAAGGGCAAACCGCTTGCCCGTGGATTACTTATTTTTTTGATCCAAGCGTATTTTGTTTGTTTCGGATGGTATTACGTTGTATTTGAGTTTCATTTCGGTCAATGCTGGATCTTGTCTTCCGTAATGCGTTGATCCTCTTTGAACCAAATATCTTGAAAATACGACATTTCTTGATATTAATGTTTGACGGTTTGACAAACGTTCTCATTTATAAAAGTTGGACCCATCCTAATTCCGTGAAATAATGCATGGGTCTTTCCGAAATGATGTAATAACCACTCGGTTTGGCAATGTTATTCCATGCCTTGCAGGTTATAATTATTTTAATTTCGTTCACAAGATAGAGAAGGTTGGATTTTTCTAAACGATAAGTAAAGTTTGACATTTTTATTATTGTTATTTTGAATTTTAAATATCCGATAAAAAGAACAACAAGGTGATTTTATATTAAAAAAAAAGGTCAACCGGTCGTAACGTCATACACCGTAATGAACCAATAAATGAACCTCATTCACTCATTTCCAAAAAAAAAAATTATTCTTCAAACAAAGGGAAGGGAATTCCTGTTTCATTCTGTGATAAGGAGTCTTGCTACATGAGAAAAAAAACTTTTGCATTTTACTTTCAAAACTTACGCCTTAGGTTAATCTTTTCTTATTATATATGATATATTTGGTACTTTTCTTTGTAAACAATTAGAACCGGTGATGGTTTTCATTATTCTAAAAAAGATGATTACTTTGTAACACATCTCTTATCAAAACATCATGATTCGTCTTTCCGGATAATCTCGTTTAATGATCACTTTGTTGGTCCCCTATTAAGTATTATGTTGGTACTTTATAGTTTCTCACGTTTTTGTCGGAAAATTTATTATTTTATTGGCTAGAGATGACTAAATATGATTACGTTTCTATTGTTCATATTACGGGTAGATGTTTAGATGGTTAGTCCATTCGTTTAGAATCTTTGAGATGTGGTTAGAAAATAATTTCTAATTACGGTTAGGTAATTTTTTTCATTGTAGGATCACCATTTTAAGTCATATTGTTTCATGCATCCATTCAAAATAGGCTTTATTATTTATTATTATTTTTTATTTATTTAACCACATTCAAGATAAGAGATATGCAAAATGATGTGCAAGTGAAAGGAAGTTTATGCAAGATAGATTGATAAAAAAAAAAGTTCTCACAAACTAGATTCCTTTCCCTTTCGGTATATATTAGTTCTTTCTTTATTTTTTATTTTTATTTTATATTACAATAAAATATGGAGGAGATGATCAAGCTGACGCCCATGCAACATTATCGTCATTACATATTTTTAAGAAAATTCTAAATAAATTAGATTTAACCGGTAAAACTTCCGGCTTGTAATTTGCAGGTTGTAAATTTATATTTACTACCAAAAAATAATGAAATTGACATATACAAGATAAGGTCGGAACCTAGTTATGTCGCAAAGGAAAAAGTCTCAACTAATAGTATTAGGAAAGTATAAAAACCTTTTTTATCAATTTTTTTTTAGCATAAACTTTATGAAAGTCGGCTTCATGTTGTATAATGAATTTTGTCTACCATGTTAGATTGTAAATTTAAAGATTCGCTATACGAGAGCGACTGCGTAGTAAAACTTAATTATGTAATTTTAAAAAGTTATAAGCGAAATTTTATGTTTATTGCGCTTAAAGTCAGGTGCCTACAAAATTGACCATAAATAGTAGAGAAATCGACACGTGACTCATTAAACTGGATGCAGACCATTATCCTATTAATAGTTTTGTTAATTAAAAGAGCAAAATATTTTTTCAAATTAAAGTTCGGTGTAAAATATTGTGAAAAATAATTTCGTGTATAGAAATTTCATAAGGTAATTTTAGTAATTTAGTCAATTAAATGTTTTATATATCATTAATAATATTTAAATGAGTTTTTGTTATTTTTACTTTCAAGGCATAATATGAATACTTTAATAAAGAAAATATAAACTGAATATGTTTAGTTATTAGCAGATTTAATGAATTTTTTTGTAATGATACTTTTTTTTTAATAAAATTTTATATAAATATTATTGATATAAATTAAATAACTATTATTTAATAAAAGATAAAATGTATAAAATGCTTAAAAATATATTAATAATAATTTCTATTCTTTAATATTTAAAAGCCATAAAATATTTTCTAAGATTATATGAATATATATGTATTTTACAATAAAAAGGGAGAAAACTACCAAAAATTTATTTTTTATTTTATAAATTAGTGACTTTTTAGTAAAATAATTTTAGATTTAATATTAATTCAAAATTATTTTTTTTTAAAATTTCTTTCTTTTTATTATAAAGCATTTACACATGCTTAAAATTTTCTGATATATATTATTTATTACATAAAATCAGTATTATAATAGATATTAAATTATTAGATTTTAAAATTTTTTTTACTTATCATTACATATAAAATAATAAATTTTTAAATTTATTTTTTTTTAATAAATAAATTTATTATTTAATAATTATATTAAAATTTTATTGTAAATAATTATAAAATATTAAATATTTGTTTTTATTTTTTTTAATTTATAATTGCATTTATTATAATTTTATATTTTTTTTTTCACAATTTATTATATTTATTTTTATTTTCTACATTATTTAATTATTTAGCAATTTTTTTTAAAAAAAAAAAGTATAATTTCTTTTAATTATATTTTTTTAAAATTTAGAATTACTTTAAAAGTATATAATAAATTTCTTTTATAAATTTTATTATTTGCTTTTAATTAAAACTATAAATAGAAGTATCTTATAAAAAAATATAAATACAATCTTATTAAACTAATATTAGCTAAAATATTATAAAAAAATAAATAGATAATTTCGCAGATTATTACTAAATAAAATTATTATTATTTAATCATAATCAAATAATTAAATTATTTTAAATTTTAAAAGATGAAATAATAATAACTTTATTAAAATTATATATAGTATTTCTTTAAAAATAAACAATTACTTTTGCATATAATTTTAGTTAATATTTAATAATATAGGCTAAAAATTATTATAATGTAAGTCATATTACTTATTTTAGAAGTTACTTATTATAAAAAAATATAGTAAATTAATATAGCACTTTGCAATAGTAAAAAAAAAATTACCAAAAAAAATTTTTTTTAAATTAATATTAAATTTGAATTTATTTTACTAAAAAAAAAATATTTAGCTTTATAAAGTAAAAAAAAATTTTTTTAGTAGTTTTCTCTCTTTTTACTGCAAAATTTCATATAACTAAATATATTTATTAAATTTAATTTGTTAATAATATTTATAATGTTTCTATAATTTCTTTATTTTTAATTAATAATAGAAGTTAATTAAGAATTTTTATATAATTTAGTTTTAGTTAATCAATTTTAAAAATAACTTTAAAATAATTATAATAAATTTTATTAGAATTTATAATTTATAATTATGCAAACAAAAATATTAAATTATATTAATTTATTTGATTTATTAATAAAATAAAATTTTTTCATAACTTTAATTATTAAACTTATTAAAATTCAATTTATTACTATTGTATTTTTTTTATAAAAATTTAAATTAATTAATTAATTAAATAAAATAATTAATATAATTATTAGTTAAAATAGTTAAATTTAATTTTCAGTTAAAATTAAAATTTTATGATTATAAAAATATTGTTTAATTTTAAATAAATTTATAATATTAATTTAAGTTAATTTTAACTGATTAATTAATCAGTTAATAAATATTTTAACCAATTATTTATTCAATTAAAAATTTTAGTTAGTTTTAACCTTTAATTTTTCAAATTAATTTATATAATTTTATTAATGTTATAACAGTTAAAATTTTTGTTAAAGAATTATTTAATAATCTTAATATTAATATTATTTTCTTGATCATTTTATAAATTAATTAGCTAATTTAATTTCTTTAAATAATTACTGTAAATTATAAATATTAATTTAATTTTTTAATTTAAAATTTCCTAATACTTAATTTTCTATAAATTTATTAATTTTTATAAAATTACAAAAATACCTCTAATTATCGAAATTGAATAAAAAAAATCAGTTTATTATTTGAAAATTAATTGGTTGATTGATAAAATTCAACTTAAATTTTGGCTTTTTTTTACTTTTTTATAATAGAAATAAAATTATAAAACATCTTTAACTATTAAAATTAGATAAAGAAAAAGCCAAAATTTAAATTGAATTTTATTAATTAACCAGTCAATTTTTAAATAATAACTTATTGTTTACTTTTTATAATAAAATAAAACTACAAAATGCCTTTAACTATCAAAATTAGATAAAGAAAAAGCTAAAATTTAAGTTAAATTTTATTAATTAACTAGTAAATTTTTTTAAATAATAAATTGATCTTTTTACTTTTTTATAATAAAAATTAAATCACAAAAATGTATTTAACTATCAAACTCAAATGAAGAAAAAGTATAACTTAAGTTAAATTTTATAAATTAATTAATTAAATTTTAAAATAATAAACTAATTTTTTTATTTTTCTATAATAGAAAAAAGATGAATTTTAAGTAATTTTGTAAAAAAAAATATAGATTTTTTTATTTTTTATTATTTTATTTATTATTTTTTACATTTTTTAAATAATTTCAAAAGATTTTAAGAATAAACAGATTATATTTTATTATAGTAAAAAATCTCTATAATAAGAACTTTGCTATAGTAAAAATGTAACAAATTTAAAATGTAAAAAAAAAATTATTATATATATAAATTGTTTCTAAAATATTAGTTTTAGTTTCTTTAATTACTAATAAAAAATATGCATAAAAATCATAATGATATATAAATATTTATAAATAAAGAATTTACTAAAAAAAATTAAATAATAAAATAAAATAAAATAAATTATTTCATATGATTTTTGATACTAATTTCTGATTAACTCATATATATATTACATAATGTTTACATAATTTACAAAATTGAAAAAAAACTATTTTTTATAAATTAATTTATTTTTATAAATATAAATCAATTTTTTTATTTAATTAAAATCTAATCAGTAAATTAAATTTTATTAATATTTTTAAGTTTCTATTATACTATATTATATTATTAATT